TGATTTGCGTTTAAGGGGTGTATCTGGGGGTGGTAGAGGCTTGGCCCACTCTTAAATCTAATTGGCTACATTAAATGCCTCCCAAAACTGTTGAGAAACAACAGCCTGCATGCGATCAAGCATGGCATCACATTTTTATTCTTATTTTATTTTAACTGGGGGAACTTACAGAATTTGCACATCTGATGTAAATGTTGCAAACCGTGGGGTTTATTATACTTGTGTAAAATATGTTTCATATCTAAAGCTACTTGTGGCTGTAGAGGGAGCTGGGTCAAGTCTGGTAGCCTCATTAGCCCCTGCCTCTGCTCTTTGTTTATGAACGTGACTTACAATGTGTGTTTTTTCTGAACATTTGAACTCTACCTGCTTTGTTCTGTGCATGTACAGGAAATGAAACGTGAATGTAAGTCACACTTACCTTTTAGGAATGGACAAAAAAGTGTTTCACAGTGAAAGAATAAAGCAGGCAACATGGATATGAAAAGGGTAAAATGATGCTGGTTTGTAACTTTACTTCATTTGTAAAATATAATACAGCATGAAATGCTCACAAAAAACTTCACACTGACGCCTCGATTTGCTGTTGACAGGTGAAATAACTATAAAGGTTTTATTTAACATCAGTGTTAGAAGAAAACAGCACAATGGTTTACAAAAGGACACTTGTGCCTTTGAATGGAGTGTATATGAAAACAAAGATTTAGTAAAGTGTGATATTTACAGCAAAACTGACCCATTAATTTAAAGTTAAATAACACACCTTTAAAATTCAAGTCATATTGAATGTAAAGGATAATAAAGTGCTTTCATGCATTCCTAATAATAGCCTGTGTGAACTACCAAAACGGGAGTTATGATGAGCTGACGTGCACACAGAGAGAAAAGAATAAAAAAAACAAACTATAAAGCTTAAAAAATGATGGTCTAAATTCACTGGCATGCTTAATCTGCGCTGGTGAAAGGCAAAACACTGTAAGGCCTTATAAATGATCAATTAAGGCTCAAACTGATGCAGAGAATATGGAGTGCGGCTGTCCTCCCTCTGGTTTAATAGAGTCGAGACCTGCTACGGTGTCTGTTAAGTGTACAGACAGATTACGGATTAGGGTTAGTGGTTATTTTGGCTGATCATATGCACTGTGGGTTTTTGGGTGAAGGGTTAATTGGGTTTGATTGGGGGTTATTCTTGGGTTGTGTCTGCACTGAAGCAGAGAGGGATAAATGTGCTTTCAAGACACATTGTGGATTAACACTGAGCTCAGGTAAGTTAAGAGGAGGAAGATAACCATTCATCAGCAGACATTAGTCAGGTAGGGATTGGTTGAGAGAGGCTTGTCTGGTTACGAAGATAGTCGTGCTGTAAATGCCAAAACATATAGGACTCTAGTTTTAGCTCGGTATAACGCTGTAGCCCACACTACAGGTAATAATCTTTAAAAAGTGTTATTTTTACAGATTTGACAATCGTATCTGTAGCTTACAATAGCAATGTACTCATCAGAATAAATGATAGATTCAATCTCAAATTGGTGATAATGAGTTGAAGCAGGAAGTTGTCTTGGGAAAGACTCCTGAGTGACCAAAGCACCCTGACATAAAAAGAAAGCAGTCTGCTGTTTCCAGTAAAGGGACTCTGACCTTTCCAAATGGCCTTTTAGTCTTTGCTGTTGTCTTTTTCATGATGTTGCCTCATTCAAAGCGTTCAACAGTTTACTCTGTGAGTACCGTGTTTGTATTACTGATGAGAGTTTTAGTTAAAACTATAAAAATAAGACCCAAGCTGTAAAAACCCACAACTGCTCTGTTAAGGAATGACAACAGTAGCAATATTTTTGAGCCTGAACATATAGTTAGTGTAACAGTGGACCTGGGTAATTTGCCAGCAGATGTTGATGAAGTTGTCTTGAGTATGGGTGAGTGGGTGTGGCCTTATCCGTAACTGTGAGGACTGCGGGGGTTAATTGGGGAGGAGTCTTCCCTCCCACTCTGTCCAATCAGCTGGTACAGACGGTGGCTGAGGTTCTGAACCTGACAGGTGCCTAGGACGCACCCCACCCTCATCAGGTGGGGGTGGCCCCTGCCTCTACCAGCATGGCGACGACCCCGTGACCCGCGCTGCCAGACTGGCGCCTCCGGTAGCACGTTGTGGCTTTGGTCGACCAACAGGTCAAAGGGCTTTGGCGGGGGATCTTTGTGTGGGAGCAAGGCCCTCCAGATGATCTGTCCATCTTCCTCTGTAATTTGGTTGTGAGCAGCGACAGAGAGATCAGACACAGTCGGCACGATGCTGGGGTGAAAGGACTTTGGGAATTTAGAGGTTCTGGGAAAACTCAGCCTGAGAAAAACAGACAGAAAGACAGAAAATATTTCCAGGGAATCACATTCACATACATCATATAAACGTGACTTTAGGGTAATAATACTACTTTCAGCTGCTGCCTTATTCACAAAGGGTCGTCACAGTGGGTTTGTTGCATGTTTGACTTGGCAGATTCTCTTATTGATGCAACCCCAAAGGGATATATGTCGCCTCTCAGGATCAAACTAAGGATCTCTGACTCTACTATGGAGCCCCCATGACTTTAGGGTACATTACGTTGGTGCAGATTCATTTCCTGAAGACTTAGTGAATCCTTTAGTATAACTTCAATTAACCTCATCCCAGCCTAAGGCAGCAATTTAAAATTGAACACTTGTGTGGATATGAAAGGGTGACTGTGTAAACGCGCAACATTAGCAATACCTGAGCCACTTCCTGTTCATATGTGATGATTGGCAGTCATGCATGTTGCCTGCTTGAGTTTCAGAGTGAAACTGGATAAACGTCTTACAGGATTCACGGTTGCACTGCTGGAATGTCTGCTGTGCTCAGTCCAAGGTCTCATTTTTGAGAAGAGATGATAAAGAAAGACAGAGTGGTGCACAGGTAGTATTTCTGCCTGTAGCTATCTAACCGTCTACGTGCACTGCTTTCCCCCATTAATCTTCAAAACACAGTTAAAAGGGTGATAAGTTCATTTTAGTCAATAATTAAAAAAAGAATGCAACCAGTCGGTCTAAAATTTCTGCTAGTGACATCTAAAGGCTGCTCTGTTTCCAGCTCCCAACCGGACCAAAGTGGTTTAAACCAACAGAGTCGAGAACCAAGACACTGACATCCGCTCAGTCAAAAAAAAAAAAGACATGGTTAATCAATAACAGTATGCAAGTCGGCAAATCTCACAACAGTTCCGGGAAGTGACAAAGCACAATGTAGATTGGTGGTGAGGGGCTCCTACACCTCCTCCACTCCCCTTGAGTGGGTTTTAAGTACTTTATTTCTCAATCTCCTGCTGTCTGCACACGTTTTTTCCCCCTCACATCATCACAATAGCTTTTCTATTTAAAAAAGAAAAAAATAATTCCCACTTTCTCCCAGATGCTCAAGAGTTCAAGTGCAAAGAGGGGGTATGTTTTGTCATGTAAGCAACCAGCGATGACATAATACTGCACTACATAGGTAAATTAAAGGCAGTAGATTCTAAGTTTGCAATAAAGCAATTGCCTGTTTATTCCAGCCCTTTTATACTGCTGACAGGAGCAAGTGGTTAAGTCAAATGACCGCAAACCCTCATCATCCCTAATTCTCTTTAATACTTTAATAGTTTTGTCAAACACAACACTGCCTTACGCATGACTTATAATTCTGTACTGCAAAAAATTATATTGCATATTCAGTATGTATGGAACAAAGAATAAAGGCAGAGGGATGGATGAAGTAAGATAATGTTTGTTTGTTTGTTTGTTGTGAAAAGTGGGCCAGATTACCATTTTATCCTGTAACTAATCCTGACTGGTATTCTGATCACTCTTCTGGCCGGACACCTTTAGCTCTCACTGCCAACACACACGAGAACACACATTCATTGTGTGTTATACCATTGACTTTAAGCTAGGTGAACTGAACTGGTTTTAATGGATGGTGAATGAAGCGTGCACACTTAGACACACACACACTGGCATAATGTTGCATGGTGGAGAATTAGTCAAAACACGTGACTGTGACACGTGACTGTCAAACTGAGGTACAGACTTTTGCATGCATGCGGTACACAGCGTAAGCAAACTCTTGGCTTTATTCATCTTTACATGCGTGTGCTGACATCTGTAGTTGCCTGTCTCTTTTTCTTTCTGCACAAAAAAACACACATTTGTGCATTTACTCACACACATACATGGTTAAATGGCCCCCTGTGGTGAGGTTTAAAATCAACTGCCACTGAAGGGAAAGGCACTTGGCAGCAAACTGCCTCCCAGTAGCAAGAAATCTGGGCCACTGAGCTACTTGCTAGTTTCTAACACATCTAATACAGGTAAGCTAATATACAGCAAAGAACCAATACAATAAACACATAAGCTTATTTTTTATTTTACTTCCAGTAATTTTTCATTGTGGTGAAAAGGTTTTGCTTATCCATTGTACTACAAGATAGGGGGATGGGTGTTCTTCTTCACCTTTCCACCTGTCTCCTTTACATTCACACAAATGTTCTGTCTTGCTTCCTCTGGCTTTCCTCCCTCTTCTCTCCAGAGCATACCTACATCACTCTAGACTCTTTTCCACCAGCTCCCTACTCTCACTATGGATCACAATGCCATGTGTGAGCATCCTAGTCCACGGAGACTCCTGCCTGACCTCATCTGTCAGCCTCTCCATCACCTTTGCAAAATAGATGGGGCTCAACCCCACCTTGAACTCCCACTGCACACCTCACCTCTGTCTCGTTGTCCTCATGCATGTCCTGCAACACTCTCACACACTTCTCTGTCACTCCTAAATTCCTCATGCAGTACCACAGTTCCTCTGTTGGCACCCTTCCGCATGCTTTCTATAGATCTACAAGGACACAGTGCAACTCCTCCTGACTTTCTCCGTATTGCTCCTTCTCAGCTGTAATAATGATAATAATAATAATAATAATGGATTGGATTTATATAGCGCTTTCCATGCACCCAAAGCGCTTTACAATGCCACTATTCATTCACTCTCGCATTCACATACTGGTGGAGGCAAGCTACGGTTGTAGCCACAGCTGCCCTGGGGCAGACTGACAGAGGCGAGGCTGCCATATCGCGCCATCGGCCCCTCTGGCCTCCGTACTGCTGCTCATTAATCATTACTAGCTTCGGTCAAGCTTCAACAGCTCTTTCTCATATCTTTGTGAGTGGCTCATTGCTCTGTAGTTATTACAGCTCTGAACATCACCCTTGTTCTTGAAATTCAGTACACAACGTCTCCATCTTCTCATTTTTCAAGATTATGTTAAACAATCTGGCAAAAATAAACAAACTCCCCTGTCTTCTCTCCTAGACTCCAGACCTCCACAGGTATGCCATCTGGACAAATCAGCTTTCCATGTTTCATCGTCTTCATAGCACATCCCCTTGCCTCATTCAGACATTTGCATAAATGCCACTCTTTCTTTTCTGTTTAGCAGTGGATGGGTCAGAGTGCAGTGAAAAACCATCTTGCATTCTTTGAAGTGCATCCTTAGTCTCCACTGGCTGTACATGTATAGCTGTGAACATGAATTCACTGCATCCTGAGTTCTTGTAGATGAGAAACTGCCCACCAGAGGTGCATGCGAGCACAAAATTGTCAGACGCAGTTAGATATATGTAACAGAGAGTGAGAGGACCTCACGTGTCCTGCCTTCTTAGGCACCAACCTCACCTTCTTCCTTCAGAAGTGAGAACACACCTCACATCGCCTGCTGTGTGCTACATGGGAGAAAGGATAGCTTTAGACAGCATCTCACCCTGGCTTTGTTACAGCCAGTTACATTAAAAGTACGACTTTATTATGAGTTGACAAGATCTGATGATAGTGATATCCATTTCCCAGTCACAGTTTTCTTTGCCCACCTGGTCTGTTTATACGCGGTACTAGCTGGAGAACAGAGAGGGATTGCTTATTGTCAATGAAACTTACTGTAAAGTTGTAAAAAAAAAAGTTCTTTTTTGAGCAGCTGAGATGCTTTATAATGAAATTTGGTCATAACTCACAGGAAGGAAAACAGAAATGATTGTTGCCTAAAATATCTGGCAGCAATTAACACTCCATGATAGCAGTATGTAATAAGCTGAACCCCCTTTTGTGTTTTTCTTTCTATTGAAACCCCCATTCCCTCACCTCTCATGTGTGATTCAGGATGTGAACCTGAATCTGAGAGACCAAAAGGAGCGTCTCCAACATTCTTCCCCAGTTAGAGCTCAGCATGGGGCTGTTCACAGAGAGACTGAACACACATGCAGACACATACGTGTACACAGACACACACACACACACACACACACCTTCCTGCTGTAATTCCTCTACTTTGTGCAGAGAAGACTTTTTGTCCCTATGGGTTGCCCACAGCTTCACTAACAGCACGACCCCCTCCCTCCTTTTGGCTCTCTGTCTTTTTTAAATTACAGCAGGATGCTTTCATTTTTCTTTCTCTCCTCTTTTATTTCTTTAGGCTCACTTTGCTGAGTGCCAGCAGCAATATTACGTTACATCCAACAGCACTGAATCACACTGAGTCGTTTGAGATGGGGTTCCCCACAACCCCCGCCCCCATTAGCCAGAGATGTTTAGTATATAATGCTACACAACTTAATCAAATTGCTAATTCTTATTGGTATTGTTGAGGGAAAACAATCAAATAAACAAGCAGGAATAGTTCTGAAAAAATAATAATAATTGTATGAAATGCATTGCCTTGATGCCTTTTTATCTCACACGGTTATTGCACTAATTTAGCTCTCGAACAATAGATAAGGTGTATTCACAGTAATGTGGGATTAAAGCTTTATAAAAGCTGCAAATAAGAGGAGAAATCCCTCTTATATAACTTAGACTCAGGGAGCATAACCCCTCTCCCTCTCTTACGCTTTCTTTCTCACACACACAAAAAGAAGTTAAAAAAAGAAAAGAAAAGAAAAGTAAGAAGTTTTCTGTGTTTAGATCTACCAAGGTAGCAGAAAACAAAGTAACGACCTGTGGGTTTGCATGTGACGGTAATTTTAAACGGCGTGCTGCTGGCCTTGAAGCAGCCACATCATAAGATGTTCTTAAGGAACCTACAAGCTGCTGGTGTCTTATTCAGACTGCTTGCTTGCTGCTTGGCCCCTCGGTATGCGCATGTATCCTGGTCCCAAATCCCACTAAATCACCTTCACCTCTGTCTCACCTCCTGCTGCTAGTGAGAGGAATTACCTTACTCTGTCACTAGACCCCTTTTCTTCTCTTTTATGTTTTTATTTCTTTCTTTTTTTTCTTCAAATGCTACAAGTTCTCGCAGTGTCCCAATACAATTGCTAAAGATAACAATCCATTTACAATCATATAAAAGAAACGAAAGCTGAAAACCGTCTTTTTATAGAGCCTGAAACCCTAAATAATGTTGTGCTTTTGAGATTTAAATGATTTAACGATTAAATGTGTAGTGGTTGTTTTGTTACCTTTTTACAAAGGCTTTTTATTTCTAAAGAGAGAGTTTAAAGGGTGTTATGTGGTGCAAATTTATTCACAATTACTCACAAAACCTTTTAACATTACTTTATACTTTATCTTGTATGGGGGAAAAAGAGGAAAAATAC